AAGAACCCCTTGGGAAGCTCAACTTCTCCTTTCAGGTGGACTCCCTTGTGCACAAGCTCTTTTTAATACACTCTATCTGCTTGATCTTGTACTGAGTTCAGTGCTCATATCTATGACATTGAGACTCAAGAACTTGGCATTCAAGGACCAGAAACATGATGACTCAAGACATATAAAGAATAAACTAAACTGAAGCGTCCCCCTTCCCTCAATGTTCATATCTTTTCAGAATGAGGATATGGAATTATTTGTTTGTTTTTAACAAAGTAATTCTAAGAAAAAAATTTTATGCTCGTTCAGAAAAACTGCATGTTATAAATATTAATTTAACACAAAAGTGTAACAAGTTAACATTTGGCCATACTAATGTTGTGTTACCATAAAAATTACTGGATGCAAATTGTTATGTAAATCTGAAATTCACTGCCAACTTTAAGACACAAACTTAAACAATTTATTAATTTCAAGAATGTTATTATATAAATTAAGTTTATTCATATTTTAAGTGAAATATTCATTTCTAATAATTTTGTATGGCCTGAGAATCCTATCTAATAAAGGGGGAATGTGCTAATAGACCTTCATGCCATCACAAAGACAGTGGCACCCACAGCCAATAAGGAGGGAATATGCTAATTGACTGCCCTGCCTTCAAAGATGACGGCACCCACAGCCAATAAGAAGGGAATATGCTAATTGACTGCCACGCCTTCAAAGATAACACTCAAAGATGGCGGCATCCACAGTCAATAAGGAGGGAATATGCTAAGACTGCCACACCCTCAAAGAGGGCGGTGCCCACAGCCACAAGATGGCAGTGCCCAGTCCCCTCAGCCTCACCGGAGCGACAGGTGCGCAGCAAGTCTGGGCCCACCCCCAGGTGGGTCTGGCCACTCTGCGTGCCTGCCTTCAGAGTTCCCCAGGCCCCTCAGGCTTTCCTTTGCTCTGTTAACCTTTGGATGGCCTTTGGCCAAAAGCTATAAAACAGTGACCTAAAAATTGCTGCTCTATTCTGAACTGCGTGCTGAAATAGTTTTAATGGAATTTAGAATCTCGGGGTTGGGAGAGATCTCAAAAGCCATTTAACTACTACAGATGACCCTTGAACAACATGGGAAATAGCGACAATACCCCCCTCCAATATATTCAAAATCTTTGGATGACTCCTCAAAAACTTAACACTAATAGCTTACTGCTAATTAGATGCTTCACAATTACATAAACAGGCAATTAACACACATTTTGTGTGTTATAAGTCTTATGTACTGTATTCTTAACAATAAACTAGAGAAAAGAAAATGTTAAGAAAATCATAAGAGAAAATACATATATTTATTGACAATAAAACTGTTGTTTGAGGTCAACTATATTTCTAGAATGCATGCTACACTTGGTCATGGATTAGTGTTTCTGTAAAATATAGTTGATGTTGATTTATTCATAATTCTTTTTTATTTTTATTGATTTTTTGAGAGGAAGGGAGGGAGGGAAGGAGAGAGCAAGAGCGAGCGAGCGAGAGAGATATGATTTGTTGTTCCACTTACTTATGCATTCATGGGTTGGTTCTTTTCATATGCCCTGACCAGGGATCGAACCCACAACCTTGGTGTATGGGGATGGCACTCTAACAACTGAGCTACCTGGCCAGGGCTGTTTATAATTCTTTAAGACTTCTGAAACTATTTTATTCTACTTTCCTTGTCAATTTTTTGGTATTGGGTTCATGCTAACTCTAGAAAATACATTAGAATGCCTTTTCAACATTCTGGGACAGTTTAAATAGCTTTAAATATATCTTCCTTGAAATGTTAAAACAATCTATAAAACACCTGGATTTGATGTCATTTAAAAAAATTCTTCCATAATTTTATAAAAGGTTTAATGATTTTATATTTGGATTTATAGAGATACTTTTGATGTCTTTTTTTAGAAAATCATCCATTTCATCCAGATTTTAAAGTTTATCAGCACAGGGTAATACAAAATTCATTTATAATTTTAAAGCCTTTTATTCATCCTAAATACTTTTGTGTTTTACATGTTCCTGGCTTTCTATATTTTGCTATGTTACTGTAAATAATTTGCTTTTCTTCTTCAATGTTTTGAGGATATCTTGCTTTTAATATTTATAATTTCTTTGACATTTTCCAAAAGCATTCTTTTATCCTTCAATTTTCTAATTGTCAAAAGTTAATACTGAAATGAAACATTCTATTTCTGATGAAAATGTGGAAAACTTACTAGCTTCTCCATCTCACCTCAATCTCAGGGTCCCATTTAATCCTGTTTTTAACATTGGTTAACATAGTCTTACCAAAATTCTTACTAATAAATTGCTTCTTTTCCCATTACGTATTCTTTTGAATAATATAACATTTTATTCCATTTTAAAAATGGTTTACAACAATTATTTAAATATATTGATGTTCAAATGCTTTTGGTGTTCACTACAGTCTTTTAGAATGAGTTTGATTTAATAAATTCAATTCTCCATCTCTAAATTAGAATAATCTATGCAGTTAGTTTTTTCAAGAATAGCATGTAAACAGTATAATTTCTGAGCACTTGCATATCTGAACATTTCTCTCCATTGTCTTCACCTATGAAAGACATTTTCACTAGGTATAAATTCTTAGTTTAAATTTTCCCTCTCCAAAAGTTGAGGGGATGGTTACTTATCAACTTCTGGCATTGTATGAGGCTAGCTTTGTTTTTCTACTCTTGCAGATAACTGGCTTTTGTTTGTTTCTGCTTTATCCTTAATATTTAATACTTACCATTAAATTCTAATTGTAATGTATCTAAAGTACAGGATGTGTCTAATTTAGACTCCGTTCCTCAGTGATTTTTCTGGAACCTGATGAGCTCTTCCAATCTGTACATGCAAATCTTTCTTTAGGCACCTCCCACCCCAAATCTTTATTCAACTACATCTTTGAATAATATTCTGCTTTACTTGTCTTGTTCTCTTCTTCAGAAACATCAAATATCCCATGCTGAAGTGCCAACCTCTGCTCTACCACCTGGCATCCACTGTCTTACTGGTCCCATCTCTAGGCACTGTGTGTTCTGAGAAGCTAGTCTTTTGTTCTGTTAACAAAAGTATCCATAATGGAATTTTTCTGAAGTATCCATAATGTATTTTTTTATTTCTGGCTACTTCACTCATCTTTGGCTACAGCAGGAGATAGATATCTCTGGGTGTTGGGATTGTGACATTTTAATTTTTCAGTGTAAAATTTTTTTTAATTTTGTACAAATATGCTTTAGTAATAATTAAATTGTTTTGGAAAATAAACTAGAAAAATCAAAATTTTTTCTCTAAAGTGTTTCATGGACAGCACAATAAAAAAATCAGTATCTGTGAATCTAGGATATATAGAAAAGTTATAATATGAAGGTGATAGTTAAAAATTATGTACTTTTGTTTCTAAAGGGGGAGATTTCTAATATATTAAGAAAACAGAATAACAACATGATCTAGCCCTGTTCCCAGATAAACACCAGTTTTATTCAAAATAATCACATAATTTTAAGAATTTTTATAAAGCAGTTTTACAAAAAAATAACCCCAGTGTCATTAATTCTGGAAATTCTATTTTACACATTAGTACTACCTAAGTTGAACTGTAATATTACAATCATTCCAGAGCTCCTCTAGATTTCATTCTTAAAGTAAAAAAATTTTCTATTTTATTTTTCATGATAAATGATGCTACTGAAACTTTACTTGGTAGATTTTTAGTTACTTTGATGATTTTTGCAATCTTACAAATAAGCAACACATATATAATATAATAATAAGCCAGTCTAATGGCTTGAATTGGAGGCCAGGGAGTTGCATTTCGTTAAACCCAAATTGAACAGAGTTGAATTTAGGTTAATACAGAGAAAGGCATGTTCTGGATGTGTTGTCCTTTGTATTTCCTGAAGCATCAGATGAATTGTAAAAAGTTCAAAGAACTTCTTATTACTCCTGTAAGAGAATGAGTACATTAATTTAATTACACACACTTAAGGAATTCATTGTAATTATATTGATAACATGTATAAATGTAGAAAAATGGCATCTGTTTTTAAAAATAGTGAAGAAAATAGGTAACTAAGAAATTAACATGCCACCCAGCTGGTGTGGCTTAGTGGTTTAGCATCAACCGAAGAACCAGGAAGTCACGGTTTGATTCTTGGTCAGGGCATATGCCCAGGTTGCAGGCTCCATCCCTAGTAGGGGGCATGCAGGAGGCAGCTGATCAATGATTCTCTCTCATCATTGATGTTTCTCTCTCTCACTCCCTTCCTTTTTGAAATCAATAAAAATGTATTTTAAAAAAAGAATTAACATGCCAAGACAAATAAAGTGGGTTTCATAAGATAGGCCTAAAATAAAAAAGTATTCAAGGAAAAAGAAAATGGTTCATCCTCCTGAAAACTGCAGCAATTCACTATTACAACAGTTGAGAATTGCTTTTTCTGTAACAGCTAGAAAAAGTCAAATACAAGTACTAGATCAACATATTTTAAGTAAGCTGGGCTTTTTAAAGTGGCAGAATATTGGTTTACCTTTTGCCTTTGTACCAAAATAACTTTTCAACCATCCTCTTTCTAATAACCAGTTAGTAATTTCATGATCAATTAGTTAGAATTATATCTGATTACATATTTATTTCTTGTCTACATATACTTGTATCTTGGGAGAAATTATTAAATAACTGTATATAACCATCCATTTGATATAGAAGAATTTATATCTTTGTGGTTTTAAAGATTTACTTTAAGACTGAGCATCAACTGTTCCCAACCCAAGGCTATATTTGCAATTTTGGGACCACTTAAAAAAATCTCATGAATTAACACCTAAGGAAGAATGAAACCTAAGGAATGTAGTTGCAGTTTCATGGCACCACAGGTTAACTATAACAGGCCTTATTGAGAATTTACTGATTACAAATCAAGACAATCATATTACAGTCAGTCTTCAAGAAAAGGAAGACAATGATTTGTTAAGTTTAACTGACACCAGATGAAAACCAATAATTTGGTGAGCTGAGTATGAGATTGTAATTTGATAAGTAATAATTTACTATGATGTGGTAGGTACCAAATAGGGCATATGAACCCACTATCATATATCTGCAAATAATTTTAAGATGCATTTATACTTGAATGAAGCCTGGTAAATATCTAAGTTCACCACCATTAAAATCATGGCTGAGGGGAAAGAAAGGGCACAGAGGAGCTGAACCAAAACTATAACTGTCATAAAAACTGGACTATACCAAGATTCTAAGAAAATATAGCTTCAAAATCCATTTATAATTTTTAAAATGATTATACCAATATTTGCTTAAGAGGAAATATAAAAAGAAAGCCCCTAATTCTTACAGTAAAAACCAAATTAGTGGCAGGAAGCTCATATAGTTTCCTAAAATATACATTATTTAAAATCTTTTCTGCCTGCTTCTTTCTCATTCCCTAAACTAACTTTAGTATAGTACATAATAAGAATCTGACAAATTTACTTTATTATCATTTTTATTTTCACTTGTGGTGGTACAGAATACCAGTGTGCAATAATTTGTTCTAATACTATCACTTGATTGCTAAAAATTGTTCTTAGTTTTACATATTCTGTGGTATTTAAAGTTCACTTAGCAGAAACAACAAGACATTCTAAGATTAAAACTATAATTCTACTGTATCACTAAGTATTAAACAAGTATTAACATGCATGAATCTCAATTTTCTACATTTACTAAAAATTTTGATTTAATAATCAAAGTTGAACTAGTATAGGATTCACAAGGTCTAAATGAGCACAAAAAGATATTTTTAAATAGAAGTATTAGAAATAAAAAATTCTTACTTGATTTTAGAAAGTTTCTGTAGAATAATACTGAGTTTTTCCAGTATTTGAAGATCAAGCTTAGGGGTTCGAAGCAGCACAGAACAAGTACGAAAAAACAGAGTATTGCTACAGGCTTCCAGGAAAGGCTGCAAGGATTCTGAAAAACAAATCCCGGTGCTTTACTGTTAGGGAGTAGCCATAAATAAATAAATAAATAAATAAACCAAAATAAAATCAGAATTGTATGGGGTATTTTTAAATATTGAGTTGATTTTCATATATAAACTTTGAGGCAAAAATATCATCATCTTAAAAATTAAAATACCCACTGGCTCTTGTTGAACAATGCAAACCAAAGATAAGATTATTAAGCAGAATTGAGCAGAAATCCCATGTCTGAAAGAAAGGGGGGAATCATTTCTTCAATAAGTTCATAACAGTAGGCTGAATTTAAATAATTAGCAATAAGACATTTTGTTGGGATAGTAAAAGTTTTTTAATACTCTATATTTAACAATTTCATTTCAGTGTTAATGACAATTTATATGATCACTGGATACGGAATAGCTTTTTAAGCATATAAGCAAAAAGGGGGGAAGACTCATAAAAGAAAGATTGAAAATTTTCACAATAAAAATTTTAAATGTCTATGTAAAAGAATTTGTAAATTAAAAGGCAAAATCTCTAAAAAAACAAAACAAAGCAGAAGGGAAATGCCAAACTTATTTTTGTAATTTATTTGCCAGAAAAATAAATTGATGACTATTAAAAAAAAAAAAGATGGGAGATGGGAGAGAACCAAGATGGTGGCATAGGTTAACGCCAGAGTTTGCTGCCTCGAACAACCAAAAGACGGAAAGGACATCACCCAGAACCACAAAAGTGAAACTAAAAGACGGAAAGGACATCAACCAGAACCACAGGAACGCTGGCTGAGTGGAAGTCCTACAACTAGGAGGAAAGAGAACGCATACCGACACTCAGAGGAGGCGCAGTGCTGAAGTCAAATATTGAGGTGCGGAGTGCATGCAGAGCGGGCTGGTGGTTGAGGGCGTGGTTGGCGTTTTAAATCGGGAGGGAGTCGCAGACTCTGAGCTCCAGATCCGGGCGAGTCTTTAGGGATCCAGACTCAAACGGGAGAAGCAGGACTGTCTGGCTTCGGTCAGAGCGAGTGCAGCTTTCTCTCCGAGGTTTGCAGCGGTTGCTGGGACTCAGAGAGGCAGAGCCCCTAGGGACGGAACTGAGAGCAGCCATAACTGCTCGCTCAA